CAGCAGCAGCAAGAGCAGCAGCAGCAGCAGCAAAAGGAGCAGCAAATATAGCCACGCATTCACACTAATGGTCCATTTAGACCAATGGTCCACTGCAGCAGCAGCAGCAAAACAAACACAGCAAAGCAGCAGCAGCAAAACAAAGCCTCAGCTGCATGCAGCAGATCTCCACACACACTACTAATACAACAGCAGCTTAACTACCAAAACATGAGAAGTGCAAATTTTGACAAAACTTGACAAATAAGAACTCCCAGAAGCCGCAAAAGCCACCAAAAAGAAGCAAAACAAGAAATAGATAAACTTTAAATGTTTAAAAAACATGAAAATGGATTTACAAAGTCCAAAAAAGGACTCAAATTCGCTTTGTTAGCCCCTAGAGGCCCCAGAAATTGCCGCCTTCCCGTGAGGGTCGGCGAACGGGAATTGGAGTAGTTTTCAACTAGCAATAATCGCGCATCCGCTAGGCGTCATATGCAGCGACATTGCCCCTTCCGCAAGGATACTTAAGCTGCTGCGGCCAAGCCCCACCCGTTGCAGCCCCGAACGGCGCATAAGCGGCCCCGTTTTGTCGCCTTTTCGCTCTTTTCCGGTTGTATTCGCCTTTGTTTTCCATTTTAATCCTTTTTAAACTCTTTTCCGAGAAAATCCACCGCGGATTCGCCGAGATCCGGCGGAATGTGCATGCGAGGCAGCTGCCTAGACACCCCAAACCTCACACACCCGCTGCTGCTGCTGCTGCTGCTGCTGCTGCTGCTGCTGCTGCGAAATTAACCCTTTTCTTCGTTTTTTTCAATTTCCTTTTATTATTTCTTATTTTTGCTCCATTTTAAATCCAAATTTCAAAACTTTCCAGCACCCCGGCCGCCCACTGGGAATGCGCAGCTGGGGAGGCGCAGCCGCTCACCCCGCCGCCGTCCCACTTGGCTTTTGAATTGCATTTGATGAATTAATTCAAACTTTTATTTTATTTCAAATTAAAAATAAAATTAATTGCAGACCTTCGGCTGCTGCGCTTCGCTGCAGCTGGGCAGGGAGAGCGGCCTTTGCTGCTGCTGCGCTGTCCATGCTGCTGCTGGTCCGCTGCTGCTGCTGCTGCTGCTGCTGCTGCTGCTGCTGCTGCTGCTGCTGCTCGTGAGTTGCTGGGGAATTCAGCTTTTACTTCAATTATAAATATAAAGCCCCTTTGCATGCAGCTGGGGAGTCCGGAGAAACTCCAGAAAAGCCCCAGAGGCCACAGGGCCGCCCGAAGTGACCAGTGGACTTGTGCAGATTTTGCTCTTTGGAATTTTGCATGCAGTTGGACCAGTGGTGCTGCACTTGAGGTGTCTAGACACTGCCTGCTGCGCAGCTTTGCATGCGGGAAGTGAGAGGAGAAAAAGAAAACAAAAAGACCTCCTTTCTCATGCATGCAGCGCGGGAAGAGCAGCAGCAGCAGCAGCAGCAGCAGCAGCAAAGCGCGGAAACGCGGCAGCAAAAGAGCGCAGCAGCGCGAGGTGTCTGTACACCTCAGCGCTGCTGCAGCGCGCGAAGCAGCACTTAACTGCAGCAGCTCTGCATCATTTTGGCAAACAAACTTCACAAACTTTTTAATAATAAACAATAAAGGGGCCAGGGCCTTCAAAAGACTTCTCAGGAAAACAAAAAAGGGAAAAAGCAGCAGCAGCAGCAGCTGCAGCAGCAGCAGCAGCAGCAGCAGCTCTGCTGCTGAGCAGCTTGAGCGGGTGCCCCGGGTGTACGTACGTACAGCAGCGCCGAAGCAGCAGCAGCAAAAAACGAAAAGTATTATTTTAATTCTTTTTTAAAAGAATATCATTTTAAATTAGAATTTAAATTACAAGTTTGAGGAAAAACGAAAGAAGAATGAAGACTAATTAGTTATAGAACTGCAGCAAAAGTGCTGTTGCTGCTGCTGCTGCAGCAGCAGCAGCAGCAGCAGCAGCAGCAGCAGCAGCAGCAGAATCTGTCCTAAAGTGGCGAAAAAAGCGTTTAAAATGGCGCAAAAAGGAGCAGCCAAGAAACGCTGGAAGCGGAAGAAAGGGAAAAGGAAAAAAGAAGAAAAGAAGAAGAAAAGAATAAAAAGAAAAAAGAAAAAACAAAAAAGAAAAAAGAAAAATAAAAACGAAAATCGAAAAATAAAACCAACTCCGAGGCGGTGTGTCCGAGTGGTTAAGGAGATGGACTTGAAATCCATTGGGCTCTGCCCGCGCAGGTTCGAACCCTGCCGCCGTCGTTTAAAAAAAAATAAAAAAAAGAGCCTTTTGGAGGAAAAAAAACGCATGCAAGCGTCAAATAAATAAAAAGAATTATTAAATAATTATTATTTTCTTTATTTTGTTTTTAATTGCGAAGATTTCGCGAAAAAACGAAGAAAAATGCAAAAGTTGAACTGCTGCTTTCTGCTGCTGCTTCTGCATTCATGTTCAGTTATTTTCTTTTACTTTTGTTTGTTTTATTTCATTTTTTTTTATATTTTATTATTTTTATTTTTATTTGTTTTTATTTGTTTTTATTTGGCGCTTTGTTTTCATATGCTTCGCCGCTCTTCACCTAATTGGATTGTCTTGTTAAGTGCAGCAGCAGCAGCAGCAAATGTCTAAATAAATGAATAAGAAAACAAACAACAAATAAATAAATAAATAAATAAATAAATAAATAAATAAATAAATAAATAAATAAATAAATAAATGATAAACGAATAAACAGGCAAATAAACCAAAGACAATAAAGAAGTGCTGACAAAGAAACGGAAATGTATCGCAACAATAAATATCTAGCAGCGGAGGGATAAACAAAAACGTAAAACAAATAAATAAATAATTTAATTAAAATAATAAGTTAATATTTATCCGGACCAAGTACTCCCTAATCGATCTTATGCTGCTGCTGCTGCTGCTGCTGCTGCTGGTGCTGGTGCTGCTGCTGCTGTTGGTGCTGCAGCGCCGGCTGCTGCTGCAGCGACCCCCGGCAGCCGCAGCCCCAGCAGCAGCACACGCTTTCAAGCAGCATGAGCAGCAGCCGCTGCAGCAGCTGCTGCAGCAGCAGCAGCCGCTGCAGCAGCAGCTGCAGCCGCCGCTGCAGCAGCAGCCACTGCAGCAGCAACCACTGCAGCAGCAGCAGCAGCTGCTGCAGCAGCTGCAGCAAACGGGTTTATACTTCATCTATTAAATCAAAAGGATCTATAGGGGGGAAATCTCCCACAGTGACTTCGCTGGGGAGCGCAAAGTCTCCATATTTATCTCCGTCGCACTCAAACAGCCGTTTGCTGCTGAACACTAGCCGCCCTCCTGCTGCTGCTGCTGCTGCTGCTGCTGCTCCTGCTGCTGCTGCTGCTGCTGGCGCCCCCACGATGCGGAAGTCGCGGCCGTCCGTGTGCCCTAGGGGCTCGTCCAGAGCCACGCCTAAGCAGACACGCAAACCCTAAACCCTAAACCCTAAACCCTAAACCCTAAGCCCTAAACCCCAAACCCTAAACCCCAAACCCTAAACCCCTGAATAGCTCAAACGAAAGGTTTTTCGCCAGCCAATCCGCTGCAGCGGGAAAAAGGAACTACTGGCGAAGCAGCAGCAAATAAATAAGAAAAAGAAATAAAATAAAATAAAATAAAATAAATAAAATATTTATTTTATTTACCTATCCATATTTGGCCTTCCTGCTGCGAAGGGCGAACGCCCACAAAAGCAATTTGCCCGCGGCGGTCCCCAGGCAGCTGAAAGCAGCAGCAGCAGCAGCAGCAGCAGCAGCAGCAGCAGCAGCAGCAGCGAAATACACCGCAGCAGCAGCCACACCGAAGCCTCAGCAGCAGCAGAAGAGCAACCCAAAACAGCAGCAGCAGCAACAGCAGAAAAAAACAGCCCCGACAGCCGCAAAAAGCAGCAGCAGCAGCAGCAGCAGCAGCAGCAGCAAGACTGCTCACCATGCACCTCGCGCCTATGGGGAATTTCGCCCTGATATCCTCCTCACTCTCCTGCTGCTGCTGCTGCTGCTGCTGCTGCTGCTGCTGCTGCTGCTGCTGAAAGAGCTCGGGTTTGCTGCTCTGCAAATTTTTGAGGAATTTGCGCATTGTGTCAGTGCGCTGTTCATACACCTCATCAGCCATTATGTATCTTTTGGAAACGTCGGAGTCTCCATCTGCTGCTGCTGCTGCTGCAACATCTGCTGCTGCAGCAGCAGCAGCAGCAGCAGCAGCAGCGCCGCTGCCCCCCACCGCCGCGTCGCTTATCACCAAAGTGCAGCCCGAAGGCAAACACCCAAACATCCTGCAGCAGCAGCAGCAGCAGCAGCAGCAGCAGCAGCAGCGGGAGGCCCCACACTGGCAACTAATTAATTATTTGCTGCTAATCTGCTTCCAAAAAAAGAAAAAGTTTTTTTAATTTATTCTTTTTGTCTTCACCTTAAAGATAATTCATCTGCGTCTATTAAAGGAATGCAGCGCTGCTGCTGCTGCGCGTCGGCAGCCGGCAGCAGCAGCTGCAGCATCATGTTGCTGCTCAGGGTCCCTGAGCAGCAGCAGCAGCAGCAGCAGCAGCAGACGCTTCGCCGTCCATGGCAGCAGCAGAGTGCCGCAGCAGCTGCAGCAGCAGCTGCGACGAGAACCCCTCATCTCTTCCCTGAGCCCCCGCCCCACTAGCAGCAGCAGCAGCAGCAGCAGCAGCGCAGCAGCAGCTGCAGCAGCCCCTGCAGCAGCAGCAGCACCTACAGCACCAGAATAGCAGCAGCAGCACCTACAGCAGCAGCAACAACAACACCTACAACAGCAGCAACACCTACAGCAGCAGCAGCAGCAACACCTACAGCAGCAGCAGCAGCAGCAGCAGAAGCAGAAGCAGCAGCAGAAGCAGCAGCAGAAGCAGAAGCAGCAGCAGCAGCAGCAGCAGCAGCAGCAGCAGCAGCAGCAGCAGCAGCAGCA